CAGGTACTTCGATCCATTTTAATTAAATAATTGAACATTTTAAAATTTGCTCGTTTAACTGAATATTCTAATGTTGATTATGTTTTTTTAGGTTCTTGTATGACAAGTTATTGGTCCCGAATGAATTGACTTCAGTATTCGCATTCTTATCTGCTAGCTGTGTCAACTCACGTATAATAGACCAGACACCAGATACAGTCAAAGAGTACACAGTGCAGAGATTTATGCGCGCTACTACGAAGAAGTTGTTCTTGTTGCCATATAATACTGGCCATGGGTTAGATTTTATTCTAAATTCATTTATTATAATTGTTTGATTTTTCCCTTTCTATATAACATTTCCGTATAAACTGTTGTCTTATTTTATAGTGGACATTGGTTGTTGATCGCGATTAATTTGATGAAAGAAATAGTGTATTATATAGATTCATTGGATGGCGATACAACAAAATATGAAAATCTGAGGAACTTTGTTGATACGTAAGTGATGAGATATACTGTTGTCTTTAATTATATATCTTTATTTATTATGTGACATTGTTCTAAATATGCGTTTATATTATGTTAGAGTTATACAAATATTCAGAGCACAAAGAGATGCAACGATGCCAAAAAGCAAGGCTAACAACATCAACTGGATCATAGTGGAGGTATATTTTCGCATGTTTGACTGTTATAGTGGTTCTACTTGATAAAACTATTTAAACTATATATCCTGATAAATGTTCGTTTGTTTTTTCCATTTACAGTGTCCTCGGCAGCGCAATGGTATTGACTGTGGATATTTTGTATTGCGCTTTATGAGAGAAATTATTCTTTCTGGTCAACTTGAGATTCCAGTCATGGTATGGATCAATTCATTATATAAGTTATATGATTCATTTTGATAATTATCTGATACTTCATCTGAGTAATTAGTTTTAAAATTAAATCTTATTCGATCTGTTATATTATGTAGTATTTTGATGAATTCAAGTGCGCTACTTACACGAAAGCAAAATTGGAAGAAATTAAAGAGGAATGATGTCAATTTATTCTTGGGTTGAGAATTGTATAGAGTTATCGGATTGGAAGAATTGTAATTATATGTAAATTGAATGTATTTGTGTTGTTGTAATTCTGAGGATCGAATTTTGTTGTAACATATTAAAACAGGTTTATGTGTATGTTAAAATGTTTATGAACAAAGTGATGAGTTACAATGTATCAAAAGTTTTGAATTGTATATATAAGGCCAAAGTTTTGAATTGTATATTTAAGGCCAAAGTTTTGAATTGTATATATAAGGCCAAAGTGTTGAAATAAAGGCCTGAATTATAAGCAGGTTTGTGTAATATAAGCAGGTTGTTGGTAAATATACAAAACAGGGTGAATATTTTAAAAAAAAAATTTAAAATCTGAGACATTAGACAGCGCTTTTACAAAAAAGCGTTGCTAAAGGTCACAAATATTGCGCTACAAAAACGCTGCTATAGGTTTGGAAGGGGGGGGGGGGTCTAAGACAGCGCTTCTAAAAAGCGCTGCTAAAGGGGGGCTATGGCAGCGCTTTGTAAAAGCGCTGTTAAAGGTGGGCTCTAAGACAACGCTTTGTGAAAGCGCTGCTAAAGGGGGGGATGGTTGGGGGGAATATGCAGCGCTTATGAAAGCGCTGCTAAAAGTGCTGCTGAAGGGAGCCTTTAGCAGCGCTTTTTCCATAAAAAAAAACGCTGCCTTTTCCTTTAGCAGCGCCACTTTTGGCAGCGCTGCTAAAGGCCAAAAAAAGCGCTGCTAAAGGTCTTTTTTGGCATAGTGAGTATTCTTTTCTTACCCTCTTTTCTGTATTTGCTGTCACTCTGTCCAATCTCTTACTTTGCCATCGGAGTGTCTTGCAAGTACACCCCTCATCTCCTTCTCAAACACCGGTGAACAGACAGTTGTCCAACAGAGTGTGGTCAGTCAGCGATCCCCTTCTGATCAGATCAGATCACTATCCGTTTGATGAATTAGATTTTATGTTTATATCCTTTTACTTTTCGTTTTAATTCAATTATTTGTTTTTATTAAATAAATAAATATTTTTAAAGTTACACGCATGATAATTTAAATATACTGAAAGTGCAAAAATACTTGCCGATAAAAGTCAAATACAATAATAAATTTGTAAATTTGTTTTTTAGGTAAATAAATCATATTTTAAAATTTGAGGATAGTGCATATAATTTCTACATATAATTTTTTAATAACTTTGATACAAAGTTTTATTAAAAAAAAATCATCCTATCCCTTGATACTCTTAATTTATAAAGAAATAAATGAATGTAATAATACCACTTCAATGTGCCACTTTTAGAACTAATTTTTTTCTTCATTTATCGTTCTCTTTTGAACATTTTATTTATTACCAAAGGCTAAAGCATAAATAAAATATACTTTCATTATCATCAAATCTCTTTATTGGAGATTTTTTACTAAGGTTAAATGACCAATTGAATAAGCTAATTAGATAAATAATATATATTGATTAATATATTTATTATTATTTTTAACTTTTTAATTAGTGGCTTCTCGCATCTCCTAAGTGCTAAAATAAATTTAATTTACTAAAACATGGAATATTTTACATATAAAGAGATGCAAATTTTCTCGTTTTTTTTCATGCAATTGCAAATAAAAAAATATATAGCTCAAACTCATGTCTTTTTATGCTTTCATCATCTTCTTTTTTCTATTTTTTGTTGTAACCTATAGTGGTATGCCATTTTTCATACCACTTTTTATTTATATTTTACATATTTTATAACCTTTTAGTAATATTTATTTCTCTTATTTAACATTGCAGATCGCAAAATTCCTTGCATTACAGACGATGATTGTCCAGAGATGCAATTTCCTCGGTATTCATTGTGCATTAACAAATTTTGTGAGGTGCTTTCTCAAGGAAGATTATAATTGTATTTGTGCAATTTAATGTTTGTATTTTTTTTATCTTCATTAAATCATAGAATATACATTAAAAAAACATTTTCCTTGTATAATTATATATACTTTAATAAATAAAGATAATATATGACTAATATATAGAACCTGAATGTCTTCAACCTAATTATATCAATATTTTAAGATAAGCTTTACATAGAATTAATTTTTTTTTCTACTTCTATATTCAGTACTTTTCACTGAACATGTAGTATTTATGTTAAAATGAGTTAAAGTTAAAATTTTATGCCTTAAGTTTTACAAATGATTAGTTATAATCATTAAATAAAAAACAATAAAATTTTATGCCTTAAGTTTAAAAAATGTTTTGGGAAAGTTCAATTTTTTTATTAATTTAAATGTTACAACAAGTCTCTTCATAATCTAAGAGACACCAACTAATCTAGAAATTTTTTCACACCAATTTAATTCGAAGGCATGTAATAAAGATATGATGAATTTTTTCATTAGAATTAAAACAGAATAGACACACCTTCTCATGTGAATTGGTAGTGATACCTCTCATAGCAAGGTTGCTTTGCGTTGCAAGTCTATCTATGATTAATCTCCAACTAAATACCTTCGCTTTTATTGGAATCTTGGTTTTCCACAATACATCTATAGTTGTTTTAAAACAAGTTGGAAGGCCCATGAGGCCTGCAATAGCTTACTGTAACAAGACTTGACATAAAACAAGTTGGAAGGCCCATGAGGCCATAATATAATATCAGAGCCCTCATTGTTGGGGCACACTTTCCAGATCAGTTGCATTAATCCATTAAAATTCTCCCTAAGTATGTTGTCCACCTCCAAATTATTGAAACAAAACCTTCATTTTCAAATACCCCATTCCAAACTCCCATATCCCTTACCACCCCTTACTTCCTGTCAGACGCAACAAACAAAGCAGGAAAAAGTTTCATTAAAGTTGTATGATCAATCCACCTAACATACCAAAAAGAATAATGACTTCATCTTCTAACCTACATATTACCAACTTAACAAAACCACCTGCCTCCAATGAGTCTCCAAACTCCACTAGGTCCCTCTACCATAGTGCATAGTGATTCTACTAAATTTACTCTTTTGGCACATCTTTGAATAATAGTCTTCTAACAATGTTCCCAAAACCTATGAACTAAAATTCCAGTCCAGATTGCATGTCTCCTTAGTAAACCTCCATAACCACTTTGTTAACAATGCCCTATTAACCAAGCCAATATATGTGATCCCAAGCCCACCATTCATCTTAAGCTTACACATAGTCTTCCAACTTACCCAAGCCATGTTTTTTTTATCCATCGAGCCAGACCACAAGAAGTTCCTCTGAATTGAAGTTATATCCTAGATCACCTTGGCAGGGGCTTTAAAGAAGGAAAGATGATGTATAGGAAGATTCATCAGTACATAATTGATGAGAGTGACTCTGCCCCCAATGGAAAACAACTTACCCTTCCATGGTGAAAACCTAGCCTTGAAGCATGACATGGCCGATTTCCAAAAGAACACCCTTCTATGGTTTCCATCCCTAGTGAGACCTAAGAATTTGAATGGGATAAAATCATTCTTACATACCAAGAAAACTGCAACAACATTCATAAAAAAAATTCCGCGATCCCAAACTCATACCAACAACTCTTCCAAGTATTGATTTTCAAGCCTGATGTCATTTCAAACCCCCTTAGTATGGATTTCGGAGCCAAGAAGTTAGCATAAGACTAGAGGTGGAAATGAAATCTATTTAAATAATATCCATTCAATCCATCCAATAATTTATCCATCCATAAGACAAAAAATAATTTAATGGATTTGATCTAATCCATCCACTAACTCATATGGGTGGATTCAATCCATCCATCTCATTTTATAAATCCATTGGATATTATGTTGTCACTTATTAAATTAAGAATTTCTAAATAATTTTTTGGATGGATGGATATCCATCCATTATAAATATGTTAATGGATGGATTTGATGAATTTTATCTTTTAATGGATGGATTGGATTGGATTTTTATTAAGAGAGTTTAGTGGATTGTTAATGGATTAATGGACTGCTTTGATCCATACATTAATAATCCAATCCATATCCATCCAATCCATCCATTTTTCCACCCCTACATAAGACCCATCACACACAAGGACCGTGTCATCAAGAAGTTGCAGCAAACTATATGATACTTCATCATTGATTTTGAATCCTCTCAGAATATCCAAGCTTACATCCCTTATGAACAATGCAGCATGTCCTTCAACCATAATTTGAAAAAAAAGAAGAGACAAAGGATCTACTTGTCTCAACCCTTTCAACACCTTAAAATCTCTGGTTGGTCTCCCATTCACCAATACTGATGTATAACTAAAGAACACCCCTCCATCCATCCACTTCATCCACCTACGCCCAAACCCCATGGCCACCATCATCTTCTGTAGAAATTTATAATCAACACAATTATATGCCTGAAAGATATCAACCTTCAATAGACGACAACTCATTTTCCTACTTTTGGCAAAGTCTATCAACTCATTAATCACCATAACACCATCAAACAATTGTCTACCTGGTATGAAGGTTGTTTGAGACTTAGAGATCATCCTGTCAATAACACATCTCAAACGTGCAGCTAGTACTTTAAAAATTACGTTATACACATACCCTATGAGGAAAATAGGCCTATTCAACCAAACCTTGTGGGTTTTCACATTTGGGGATCAATGCAATAAAAGAGGATAATATAACTTTAGGTAATGTTGCAATAAAATAGAACTCTTAGATACATTTCACCACATCACAACCAACCACCTCCTAACATCTCTTCAAAATTTCCATGTTACATCCATCTGGCCCTGGACTTTTGTTGCCTTCAAAATCAAACACCACCCCTTTGATTCAAAGTGTTAATTGATAGCCTTTTTGACAAGACCCAATTCTTCTACCCTTTCAAAGCCAACTTGGATTGATGTAATTGAATTCCTTCTAGTTCTAGATTTGAGCATCATGTGGAAGTATTTGGTATTAATATTTCCTTCCTTCACCCATTTTAATCTTGATCTTTATTTAAGCATGCTTTATTTCAAGTGTAGGTTGTTTCAAATATCCTCCTGTGCCACATTTCTCTTCAACATATATGTTAATGAAGTTTGCCGATAACCCCTTTCCATATTAGCTTAAATATCATTTAGTGTATTCACCCCTTCATCAATTTTAAGGTCATCCTAGCCAAAGACCTTCTTATTTCACCACCTCAAGCTATCCCTTAGAGATTTAAGTTTCTCGTTTAGCACATGGGCAACACTACCATCGACATGATAGGAATTCCATTTTTTCTTCATAAATTCTAGAAATTCAAGATGCTCCCCAATTGACATTATTTTCCTTTATTCACACCGGTGTGTGATCTGAAATGTCCCCATTCCCAACTTGTTAAGCCAAAATGTTCCACTTATTGATTAACCCCAAAGAAATAAGAAATCTATCAAGTTGACTTTTACAACTACCATTTGAATTTAATCGAGTGGATTTATTTCCATAGATGGAAGATCAACTAATTCCATTATGTCAATAAAAGAGGCAAACTCATCCATCTCAGTGCAACAGAACCGTCCTCTACCCCTCCTTTCCTCCTCAGTTCAGACCATATTAACTGTTTATCCGCTATACCACATGAAGCATACACATTGATAAGGCAACGATTTATACTTTTCAAATATACATTCATTCTTAGAAATCCTTTATCCCTGAAGCTAAACACTGGAAAAGTGCTTCTTTCCTCCATATTGTTAAAATTCCACCAGATTGTCCAATGGAATCTACAACACACCATTGGCATTCCATCTTTCCCCACATACTATAAACCATATTGTTTCCCATCTTCTAAATCTTGGTCTCCTGTATAAAGCAAATATCGACCTTTTCATTTGAAGAATCTTCTTTATTCTCCTTCTTTTAATTGAATTACCGCACCCTCTAATGTTGAAACATACAATATTCATAGAACCCTAATAGTTTCCATCATCTTTACTTCACACCTTTTCTTGTCCCTCGTCTTCATATCTCTAATGATTCCTTCGAGTAAATCATCATCCTCCTCTCCTTCAATTCCTAGATCTTCGATAGTTTGCCACACTTTTGATGGAACATCTTTAATTGTCCTTCTGATACGTGAATTTCCTTGGTTGACATCTGAATCATTATCAGATTCACAACATAGGATAGACCCCTCGAGTATCTTGAGATTGAATCTTCGTCTTTAGAACATAGTTGGGATGGACATGGTAGAGTCTTACAAGGCATGATAGAAGAAGTGCCAATATTAGCTAAATGAATTAGGGCTGAGAAATAGGATGGGGAAAAAGGGATTTTCAAAGTCTAATAAATTTCATTTATAAGCTTTTTCTCTCTAGGTTTGAAACGCATCACTGGACCCCTAGGCCCAATTGGGGTGCAAGATATTGGGTCAGACACATCAATATCTAGGCCTACCAACAAAGAGTTATTACTTTGCACTATTAATGGACTATTAGCTTCCCTAGAGTTGAAAACACCCTTTGATCTTTCCCTGGGAACAACAATCATATTTCCCATCTCTAATTGCTCTATATCATTTGCATTTTATGTTGACGTAACAACTATCAAGTTATTAGTTCTTTTGTCTGCTTCCCCAGTTCCAATATTCCACTTTTCAGCAGCTACGTCAAATCTACCAAAGTCAGTCGCCCCTAAAGCAACACCTCCACTCTCGCGTACCAAGATGCATTCATTACCTGTCAAATCACATTTCCCCATATTATGGGGACTACCATTGTCATGATGATCTACTTTGTACTCCTTAAACTCACCTTATTCTTCCTCTTCATGAATAATCCATGTGTCATCGTCCCCTTCCAACCCATTCTCCTCGGGTTCACTCACCACGTTATTAGCCTTTGGGATGACGATTCTCTTTTGTCCATGCATGTCTTCTACCAACTTGACTTTGTAGATTCTATTATTGACCTCAACTTGAAGGTTTCATTTAGATTCAACGAGTTCTTAGTTTTGATTAGGAATTTAGCTACATCCAAATTCTTGTACTTCTTAGTTTCTTTATCACAACATACAAATTCCCCAACCAACACTAATATGAACTTGAAAAATTGGGGACATCATTCATGACACGGTAATTCGTAGCAATGCAACCACGCAAGCCTTTCATTATCCATATCCTTTGGTGACCATGGATGTATATCAAGGTACCATTGATTAACCCAAGCATTGGCCTCCTTTATCAATGCAACTACCACACCCACACCAATTTCTTCCAATAAACAGAGATTCTCCCCCATTGGAGTAGCTTTGATCCAGAAAATTCCTTTAGAGTCTAATGCATCCTCCACATTGTATGTCGGTCCTTGTTCCTCCACAACCCCAACAAAATATTTTTCAAACCTCATCATGTCTTTCATTTCCATATTGAACTGAAGATGCACGAATTGGGTATCGCCTCCGTAATATCCCATTATCGGTTTTTGTTACAATTATGCTTATCGCCCCAACCATCCTTACCCTTCATCTCAACACCTATTTTCAAGTTACTAATAGATTTAGCTTAAGTCATATTAGATACCTTAGGGTTCCAGTAACGCTTAGCTAACTGAGGATCTCTTCCACTTCCAGCCACATCTTCTCTGAGTGTTGCATTACGTTTTTCTAACGTTGGAATCTTGGAGTATTAGCGTATATCTTCTTTCCTTGAATATGAATATTATACAACTTCACCTCTATGATTCTCTCATATGCAACCTTTCGGAACCGAACAAATCTGTATCTTTTACCTCTCTTACTCTTCTGAGCGGGTATGTAGACTTCCATCACCAGACCAAACTCCTTGAAAAATTTAAACATGTCCTTTACATTGAATGAATTCAAAAATCCCATGAAGAAGAATGAATACATACTCTCCCCAACTTCCGTACCTCAAAAAATATGATGCTCGTGATGGACGCGGAAAAAACGTTCGAATAGAGTCGCCGCCGAACTTTATTCATTCCAAAGAAAGAATAGGAAAATACTGATAAAACCTTTAAAGGATAAGAAAATGGTCATCACAACCAAAGTCTAGGTTCGAGAGTCGATTAAGCAAGAGGTAAGGTATTAGCACCCTCTACGTCTGTTGTACTCTACAAGAACCTCTTGATTTGATTCGAGAGAATGGGTTAGCTAAGTTGTTTGTTTTCTTCTAAGGAAAAAGGTAAGAATGTAGTTTCTAAGGGGAAAATGGGTGGTATTTTATCGGAGTTCTCGCCGAGGATTGGGGCCATTGTACCTACGTACTCCGTCATGCAATAGGAAAGTCAGAGCATCGTAGTTCGTGGGACTACAGAAGAAAGGAGAAGGTTGAAGATAAAAAAGGTAGCTCGATAGGATCTCGCAATCCTATGCCTATGTACCATCATAGTGCAATGAGGAAGTCAGAGCAATCGTAGTTCAAAAGACTACGGTTGGTTGATTTGTGTTTTTAAGCGAATGAATGTTTAGGTCACATTCTAACTGTTAAACATTGGCTTGTCTGCTCACTAGGAGAAGCTGAAGCATGAGTTTATATGCACGAAAGAAGGGACTAAACAATGTTCTTTCAAAAAAGTTTTTGAGTTGATTAAAGTGTATTAGGGTTTTAATTAAGAAAAGAAGTTTGATTTGAATAGGTTTTAGGGTTTCGGTCGCACGGGAGCGAGAAAGCGAAGTTTAATTGGTTGAGTATTTTAAGGGAGAATGACGATTATTGATAAACGAGATACCAACCTCGCAACCAATTAATTGGGGCATTACTAAGATGTTAGATCCCAACGACACATTTTTCATTTAATTAATTATGAAATTGTGTTTGATGGACAATGAACGTCTTTGTTCGAATAATTAGGGCAAGTATTTTAGGAATAAAAGGTGGAGCAACCCACAACCCAAGGCGTGCATCCCGAGAGCGGCCACTCAAGAATCCAAGGAGTGCGTGACCCCAAGAATTCAGCTCTTTCGTAATTGAATTAGGAAAAAGATTTGATTCGGTGTATATTTTAATTATACGTGTTTTAATCGAGTTTAGTGCTTTAGAAATGAAAGATCAAAATGATCACAACCCAAGGCGTGCGCCTCAAAAGCGACCTTTTAAGAGCCCAAGAAGTGTTAGACCTCAATAATTCAATATCTCCATTATTTATTAAAAGAATATCTTTACTTAGTCATATTTGAGGAGTGATTTTATTAGGCTAAAGGTTTTAATCAAAACCAGGGTTTCTTGGATTAAAGGTTTTAAAAAGAATTAAGTATTTTAGAAATGAAAGATGGGACGAACACAACCCAAGGCGTGTGCCTCAAGAGCGATCGTCCAAGGATCCCATGAGTGCTAGACCCTAAGAATCCAATACCTTCATTATTAGTTAAGAAAACGTTTTTAGAAGTGTTAAACAAGATGAATCATGATATTAAATTAATTAATAAAATAATTTTGTTAAGGATTAAGTGTTTTTTATTAGATTTAAAGGAGATAAGAGAAGGACACGTGGAAGGTCTAAGGAAAACAGAATCCTAGATGTTATCATGCACGATAGCCCTAAGGTCAAGATTAGAAGGGAGATCTACCTAATGTTGTCATGCTTGGATTGAGAGCCGAATGTCTATCCTACTCTAAATCTAATCAGAAATTAAGTTAGACTAAGAATTCCTAAGGGAGCATGCGAGTACGAAGCACCAATAAACATGAAGTATCTCAATCACAAAGGAAGAATCAAATACGAAACTAGGCTCAAGTATATGCAACACTCATGACAAAATATCATACTTGAGACATGCACCAAGATCCAATCAAGTATCATCAAGGAATGGATTCACAAGTGATTGACAAGAACAACAGTCACAATCACCCTCACGATTAACCAAAAACCTTGGTCAAAGTTTAGTATCCAAATTTTATCAGCATCAACATCAAAATCTAAATTACTATCTAATCAAAAATAGATCAAGAGTAATATCAAAACTAATATCTAATTCTAATTAAGAACTATTAACATCTACTCGAAAAATTTAACCAATAACTTATCAAGAATTAATGAAACCTAAACAAATGTTGTAGAATGCTAACAAAAAATGAGTAAGGTTCTAATCAACAACAAAAAATATAATGTCAAGATTTATCTAAAATTCAAATTAAGATTAACTTCTAAAATAATATCTAAACTAAGATTAAAATAAAAATAAAAAAAATTAATCAAAGTTAGTGTCAAATCAAAATTTTAATCAAAATTAGAACAAAATTTGTTAGAACAAAAACCACCAAACAAAGAACAAAACTAAAGTTACAAATTAAATAAAAAACTAAAATCTAAATAAACCAAAAATAAAACAGGGTGAAGTAGTAGTAACATGGGTGCAATAGATTGAAAAGGAAAATGGGATCATATGGGCTGAGAGCCCATCACCCTCTTACAAACCAGAAGACACAGTTGGGAAAAAACAAAGATGGGTAAAAAACCAAATGGGCTTCAAAGCCCATGAAACCAAAACCACACAGATCAAATGGAAAAGCGAGTCAGGGCAAAGAACCAACCTCTTTTTAAATGAGAAAGAATAAATCAAAGTCAAAAATTGGAAAGAGAAACAACAACACTCACTTTTTAGAAACAAAACAAGAATACAATTATAAACATCAGCTCATCAGATTTTCAGCAAATCAAACAAATCATCGGAGTAGAAAGACAATAAAAAAACAAACTCGCGAAAAACAAAAATGTGTGTCATCTCGCTTCAATCTCTTGGCTTCACTCTCAAATCGTTTCGATCCAACCTCCGTAATTGCTTCTTTTAGGCTTCGAATCGCGTCTGATTCTTTCTTCTTCTCTATCGTCTCAATCGCTCGTTTTGATTCCGACTTACTCAGGTTTTATTGAGACTTTTTGCTTTGTCTCGACTTCTTCTCCTTTTTTGGTTCGAACTCGTTCACGACCTTCTTCACGTGTTAGGTCCGCTCTCGCTTACTCTTGCTCAATCATTCTACTTCATCTTTTCTACTCTGATTCAGGGTTTGTGATGAGGTTGTTCAAGAAGGTGATTTAAAGGATGAAGAAGATTGAGTATGAAGGTTGAAAAAGTTTAGGAAGTTTCGGTTTGAGATTTCAGTAGGGTTTTGTTGGCTATTGAGGCTTGCCCTCAATAATGAGAAGAAGATTGAATTTATAGAGTGAAATCTGAGGGTGAAATGGGAATTATTATTGTACTGACACTGGGTTTTGCTTTTTCTTTCAGGTTGATTAATTTTTTTTGCTAAGGCTTGGTGCGAAGTTTGTGGTTTGTACGGTGTAATGTGTGTGATGCATGTTTGTTATGGTTTTTGTCGTTGTGGAATTTGCGTATGTTGCATAGCTGGAAGTTGTTTTTTTTTTCTCGTATGCAAATTGCTTCTTTTCGTTGCATTGAGGCAAAGGGTGGGCCAGGTTTATTTTACAGGTTGGAAAAGATTGCTAAGTTGTGGTTAATGTTATAAGTTATGGAATGGCGCGTCGCGGTTTTGTTGTGCAACATATTTATTTGGCTTATGGGTGTACAAACTATTTTGTAGGGTTTGGTTGCTGCAACATCTTGGGCACAGGTTGTATAAGTTGTGTGTGGTTATTCATGGTAATGTTGGAGTATAGTGGCTGATGGTTTGGCAAGATTAATACATGTTGTTGGCTGTAACATGAGATCTTGTGTAAATGAATTTTTGTTAGGTCAATTGTACAATTTGCCATGTATGGCCTTTTTCTTTTGTTTTTATGTAACATGAACTTTTGGACAATTATTATTTTTTGAATGAAATGAATTATAATGGTATTTTTGTGGTGTAGTGGACTTTAGATATTTGGTTATGGATAATGGAATTAGATTTAAATAGGAACTTGAATGAAACTAATTAATTGACTTGAAACTAATGGATTTTTAGAAAGTGGATAAATATGGTTTATAAAAATGGATGTGGGCCAAAAATATGGTTTAATTGGGTTTAAAAAGGATATCAAAATGGTTATTTGGAATTGAATAATGGGATGAAATTGAAATGGATGTGAAAATGTAGGTGAAATGGTTTGAAATAAAAATGTGGATTAAGAAATGGATTTATGAATGGAAATGGATTAAAATATGGTTTTGGATATGGATAAGAAAATAGATATGGACTTTTGTGATTTGAAATGGTTATAAAAATGTATATGGATATGAGTTGAAATAGACTTTGAATCTTGAATTACAAGAAATCCACACGACCAATTTTAACATGTCTAATTCCAATCAAACTCCCAATCCACACCAAACTCCTATCCTCAATAAATCACCAAAACTCAACCAGTAAGCTCAATCGATCTTGACCCAATGCCCTTCAAATCACTTCACAAATGCCTTGTCTTGATGACCACTGATCCCCTTAACATGAAACCTTAATCTCATGAAATGCAATTGATGACTTTCCACAAACTCTACCATGAAAAAGAACCCTAATCCTCCTTTAGATATACCCTGATAAAGAGAGCATACTTAAATGTTAAAAATAAAGTGAGACCCTAATCCATAGCACCTAATATTCTTGAGAAATCTTAAAGAAAACATACTTAATGCTTGATAACCTTTTGATAAGAAGATACTCATGAGGTTGGAAGCTCAACCTTTGTCTCAATCTTGAGTGTAATATCCAGAAAAATCTTCTATGAGTAGGGAAAACCAAAATTACAAGAAAAAATTTTGATCCATGTCTTAGGAGTTCCGTGAAATGCATGAATGCAAAATTATGACCTAATGGAGGATGCAGATGAATGGGAAGCACAAGTCAGTCAAGGTTAGAAAAAGGTGGGACAAATTTGAAGTATGACAGATGCCCCTATCTAATTGTCTTGAACCTGGGAAAATGAACTGCTGCACGAGGTTTATTTTTAGGA